ACTAGCAGATCCAAAATCTGCAGCTGGAGCTTCAATACTATTGTATGGATCATCACATTCAACCTGTTCCTCAGCATCTGATCCTTCGCCTGAGAAGTCAATAGTACTCTCATCATCAAGAAGTATATGAGTTGTAGCAACATTATCACTAGTAATGTGTGGACTAGCAGCCTGTACTTCCCCTGAATCAGACTTATCATGTGCCTGCAATTTAGAAAATGATTCAACAAAAGTAGCAAGATGAGGTGAGACATCAACGTTAGTCTGAGATTGCTTTGGAGACGCATAGGGTAGTGTGTTTTCATCAAACACAACATATCTGGATATGTAAACCCTTCTTGTAGGGGGATGATAGCATCTATATCCTTTGTGTAAGCTGTTGTACCCTATGAACACACAAGGGTAGGTCTTTGGACTGAATTTGTTGCTACCCTTGATATATGGAAAACATCTACACCCAAACACTTTTAAGCTGTTGTAATCAAGTTGTTCCCCATACAACTTAACGAATAAAGTCACCATCTTTAGGACTGAGAAGGGAAGTCTATTGATGAGAAATACTGCAGTGAGGAAAGCCTCAACCCAAAGAAACAAAGGTAGATTAGCATGAAGTAGTAGAGTTAAGCCAGTCTCCACAATATGCCTATGTTTTCTCTCTGCAACTCCATTTTGTTCAAGTGTGTTAGGACATGAAATATGTCTCACGATGCCACAATTTTCCTAATGCTTAATGAAGTCTGTTTGGATAAACTCACCACCTCCATCACACTGAAAAATCTTAATTTCTTTAGAAAATTATTTTTCCACCATTTTCTGGAATTTTAGAAAGACCTCAAAGAATTCAGATTTCTTTTTCAGTGGATAAATCCATGTATATCTCGTGTGATCATCAACAAAAACAACATAATGTTTCATATGTTGGGAAGATTCGACAGGAGTAGGTCCCCCATAAATCACAATGTATTTTCAATAAAGGTTCTTTCTCAATTTTATTTCTCAAACCGAATAAAGTTTACAACTCTTTCCCAACTGACAACTAGAACAAACAGTAGGCATTTTATTCCAACTACTAATATTGATGCAGCTATTACTATTCAAAACTATTAAAGACTTTAAACTAGGGTGTCCTAATCTAGTATGCCACATGTTATCTGACGTGTTCCAATCGTGTGCAATAGTCAAAGCATAGAGATTGTTATCTTCCAAAGCATAGAGTCTATTCCTTTTAGTTCCCTTGGTCAGCAGTGTCCTTGTCTTCTTGTCCTTCACAACAAAGTTAGTTTCATCAAATTCAAGAGTGCAACAATTATCCTTTGCAAGCTTACTAACTCAGAGTAAATTTTAATTAATCTTAGGGACTACAAGAACTTCTTTTAACTTTAGACCTGATCCGGATATGTTTCCAACATGTGTTATATCTAACTTTTGATCAATTCCCAATAATGATTTTTATCTGTTCCATTGTAGTGTTTTAAGATCAGTTAGGATACCTGAGTTATGTGTCATATGGCTACTTGCTCCTGAGTCCACATACAATGTGTCATCAATAGTGTTTTGTAGATTAGTAGCAGTCAATGCTTCTGATAACTCATTTGCAGCTTGGTAAGAGTAATCCCACCTGTAAAAACACTTAAGAGCAGTATGGTTATTCCTATCACAGATTTGACACGCATCAGTATTGTTCCTCTCATGACTTCCACTTGAAGAATTGTTCTAAGGACCTAGTCCGTTTCTGCTGTTATAAGAACATGTTCCTTGTCCAGCAGGCTTAAAGCCTCTTCCTCTAGAATTGAAATTATTATTTCCTCATCTTTGAGAGTAGTTTCCTCTTCCCCTGCCTCTTTGGGCAGAGAATGTCATGTTATGATTTTGTTAAGGCACTTCTTCTTCATCTTCCCTCATATCAAAACCCCTGAGAGCATTAACAAATTGATTAAGTGTAGGATATGGTGCCTTACCTAGCATGACAGTCCTGAAGGTCTTGTACTTAAGACCTAGACCTCTAGAAAAATTAATCACTTTGCTATCTTCATCTACGGGCTTGTGAATGGTTGTAAGGCCATCACATATGCCTTTGAATTCCTTAATATATTCGTCAATTATTTTGGTTCCTAGCTTCACACTTTGTAGTTGTTGTTTGAGCTGGAACTTCTTATCTTTTGTTGCTTGAAGATAAGCTTCTTCCAAGCATTCCCACATCTCATTGGCAATTGAGCAGCCTACGATCAAGTACATGCTTTCTTCTGTCAAAGTGTCTGAGATCCAACTCCTTAGCAACACATTCTTCTCCTCCCAGTCATCAACAATGTTGCTGTCTTCTGCACCCTTCTCGCCTGCTACAGCTTTCTCAGTAGTCTGCCCAGTGGAACATGTATCTTTAGGTGGTTCT